TGCAATAGTATTACGAACATAGATGGCAATTCCACCTCCTTTAGATCCTCGGTCAAGCTGAAAATGGTTGTAGTTGTCAATCGTAATCTGCAAGTCATTGACCGCAGGAGTGAGAAATGTTTCTGTTAGGCAAAAAATGTCCGGGTCAAGATTTGCCACTTCTAGTTTTAGTTGACTTAATTTAATCACAAGCCCTCTGATGTTGACATGTAGAACACCAACACCTTTTCTGCCAGAAAAATCTACCGAATTATACGAGTTCTTTATATTTTGGCCAGGATGAAGCTCAATTCCACCCAGAAATAAGAAAAGTAGAATTAATAGTTTGCACAAGTATTTTCTGTGAAAGAATGAAGAGCGGTGAACCTTGGACGAATAGCAGCAGCTCGCAGATGGTGTTATTTTTAAGAGCAGAATGAAGTTTGGAAGGAGTGCTGGAGAAGTAATGGGACAAAAATAGGGTTTAAAAGGATACAATGATGGAGTGTAGAAGTGTCTATGAGCTGTTTCATTTGCAGGTGCAGTGGCAAATCGAGCAATAAGTATGGACGCAAAGTAACGAGGGTAGCCGTTTGTAGAGTTGAGTGTGGCACTAGATATGGCCGGGAACGACAGTAGTATGATACACAGCAGGAGAATTGCCAACTTTAAGATAACAAAGATCCACAACAGTTAAACACACAAGTGAAAAACGTACAGGTAGGCCAAGCGCGAGTAATGTCTTGCCGCACTCGTCGCACATGTACTGCTTCTCGCCCGTGTGCTTGAGTTTGTGGTGGCGGTCAGCTCCAGGTCACGAAGTTGACTAGCTGTTCAAGTTCTTGCTGTTTGTAAGCATACCTTGGTGGAAGTCGAAAAAGATGGCAAGCTACTCTTTTTGGATGTCCTAATTAAAAGGAGACCTGATGGTTCAATGAGCTACTCTGTCTACAGGAAAGCTACCCATACGGATGCTTACTTAAAACCGGATTCCCACCACCTTCCATCCCAGAAGAATTCCCTCATCAAGACTCTATACCATAGAGCCCAATGCATCTCCGACCAGGAACACATTGCCAGTGAACTCAAGCACGTACACCAAGCTCTCGAGGCAAATGGTTACTCCGACTACACAATCCGCAAAGCCATCACTCCAACCATGAAGAAAGATCCTCTTGAGGAGCCATTCAAAACCATCACCTTACCCTACATTGCGGGGGTCACAAAAAATATCTCCAAAATCCTGAATAAACACAAGATCCAGGTCTGATTCAACACAGTACATAAAATCCGTGATCTGGTCCCGTCTGTAAAAGATGTGGTTCCAGACATACAGCACCCGGGCATCTACAAACTAAGTTGCCTCTGTGAGAGCAGTTACATTGGAGAAACCAAACGACATATCTCGGACTGCATCCGTGAACACAGAGACAATTTAAACCGAGAAGATGGATTCTGGCTTAGTAATCATTGGAAAGACGTGATAAACCATTTCGGTTCTTGATTGATTGTATTTTACGGTGACTTTCAGACCGCAGTCCATTCGCTGGCACTGCCTCTTAGTACCTTTCACACGACGGTCAATGGTATGGTTTATAGCATATTGTATAATAATAAATAGTATAACAGTGTAATGTTTAACATACTTCATAAGGCAATATATAGTATCGTAATTGTATAGTGAATATACAGCAGTGTGGTATACAGTAGGGTTGGTAGAATAATACATAGTGTAATATTACAAGTCTGATATTTTATAGTCTAAAGTATAGGGTAGTGTATAGTAACACATTGTATAATTCAATGGTGGGGTTTGTCTATGGCAGTGTATATTACGGTGTATAGTCGTGTAATGTAGAAACAAGTTTAGTTGGAGACATATCAATATAATGCATAATGTTAGAGCTTACATTGGGCTGTGTATACGATATTATATAATGTAGTTTAGATTGGAAGGTATGTAATGTATAGTAGTCTAGTTTATAGCAAAGTTGTAACGCAACACAGGACAGAGCAGCGCATCGTGGCTGTTTCGCTCTCTCTCCCCCCTCCTCCGTTCTGAGCATAGATCGACTCGTCCGTCTGAACAAAGCTCGTCGCTTTCAATGGTGCTAACGTTGAGGAAAAAAGAAACCGCCACTTTTTTCGACATAGAATTGTAATGTATAATGACTTATCGTTAGTAGCTCAGCTGATTGGAGAGTATATTGAGTTAATTGATAATATTGATATAGTTTATATATATTTTTTTATCAGTTTACTATATGGTATTCATTATATAGTGTAGTGTATACCCAGTTACTTTATGTTAATAGCTCAGCTTATTGGATAATATATTGAATACATTGATTATATTGATGTAGTTTATATTTAGTGCTTTCACATCGGTTTATTGTATGATAGTTGGGTAGTTGCAGTTATTTAGTGTCAATATACTAAATGCCTCTGTTGATATGTAAATTCTGACTTTAACATAGCTACTTCCGTGACCAGTTTCATGCTAATTCCTCACACTAACATCATGCTAATCTCCCAGTTACATGCTAATTTCTGACTTTAACATCCTGCTAATCTCTCACATTAACACAGCTACTTCAATGCTAAATTCTTCTGTTGATATGTAAACTCCTTTGTCAAGGAGCTCTGCTCCTCCCACCTAGCTTAAAATACGCTGCCAAGCTTAGCAGTGTTCATTGGAGTGCTGTCTTTCCGACAGTTCTGTTTCTTCACCTGAGGAAGGCTACTTGTGTTGTGGCCAAAACGTGGTGAGAATTTTCTTTTATTGTTTTATTTTTATTATTTTATTATCTCCCTTCTACGTGACTTTACCGAAAGAACCAAGAAGATGAATCCCTGCAGTCACGAAAGCTTTAAATCGAAAAATAAAAACCATATCTAAACCGCTCTCAGCAAATTACCGATTGGTATTTTCTTTTTTAGACAACCGGTAGCTATTGATGTAGCACACCGGTGTGTGCTGCACACAAACCTTAAAATTTGGCGATGTGGGGTGGTGGCGAGTTTAACGACACTTTTATATCTACGCGATCTAACCCCAAAAAACCCTGTATTATGGATAATACTGGTCGCGAAAGCCTACGTGTTCAACTGACAGAGGCTCGTATATTATTAGCATTTTGTAAGACGCATTTTCCCCTTTGCATGTTCAAAACAAAAGTCTGGTGTGCCTGTGTGTGCGACTGCCTTTGTATTACTATATTGACACTGGGGCACAAGTTTGGAGAGCGTCTTATGATCCGGAGAATGTGGTATATTAAATGTGAATTGCTCTATGTGATAGCCAATTAATTTTTGACAAGTGATCATACAGCAAAGATTGGAGCCACTAAAGATTATCCACATCATGCACGTGGTACTAACAATGAAATATCTCCACAAAATGTGTTACGTGCTGATCTGAGAGCGTATTGTGGGTGAATGGTCATACATAATTGACAATGGCCTGTCCCACCCACCACCAAAACATAAGTCATATTTAGCTCCCTCGCCCTTTGAGCCTTCCAAAGCAACACGATTTCCAACATCATTTGTCCAATCAGTATTTATTTGCTGAAGAGAACCAGGCAAGCAATACCACAAAACATTCACCTTCTCTCGACATAAAAAATAAATATATCTAGACGTAAAGTAAGATATTTTTTATACAATCCATCAGCCCTAACGCCTTCTACCACATGCATCATTTCAGCAGCATTGATTCAACGCAAGCAAAACTCTGGGCTTGGTACCGACACACATTGTCTAATCCGCAAAGCCAGGCTTGTTTGAATGAATGCTGGTGAAGGATCAGACGTGATAGGCTCGGGTGCTCTCTTTAAGATATGGCTCCTAGTTCGAGGCGGTGACATGGCACATGCGTCCCGCGCTTTGCCGCTTGTCTTAGAGGTCCTCGGTTCAAATCCAGCGGCCGCCCTGATTAATACTGTGGCTGTAATAACCGGAGGCAGCACGAGGCGTCTGCTTCGCAATGGACGTTCCGGATCCCCTGACCTCATTTGCAAGAGCTAGGCCACCGTGTGCCCGCGTCACGGTCCAAATTTGCCATGTTCGGATAATTCCCCCCAAATTAAATCCCTCAATCGCAGCGGCTTCTGGCTGGCCATCGGAACAAAGGACGTCACTGCATCGCGGTTGCGCATCTGAAAGCGCGCAATGCAGTGACATAAAGAAGACACTGGAGCTATGCACTTTTAAATCTATATTGAAAACGGATTTCTTTAGAACTGCTTGTTGTTGTGTTTAGTTTGTTGTCCTTCCACCGCACCTGCGATTCAGTTTATTTTCAGTTTCAGTTTATTTTTTTTGGTATAGCCCTGTGAGTCATTCGGCTCTTGAATCGGATGCAACCACAACAAACAAAAAAACTAAAACACAAACAAGAAAAACATCTTAAAGTGACTATGTGATTGCAAACATAATCCATGAAAAAAACCCCAGCAAAATGAAAAAAAAAGCAAAATGAAAAAAAACAGCAAATAAAAAAACAGCACGGTTGGCTACGTAAGGTGTGAAAGAAGTTCAACACACATACTGGACATCTGTGAAAAAGAGCTTTATAGCTCATCGGATTCCTCCAGTATAAATAAATATTCTAACATGCAGTATCCTGGTCTATAGAGTTGTCACCTGGTTACACAATTGAAACGTAAACATATAATTGTTAAAATTAATACGGTAGATGGGTGGGTATGTGGGTGGGTGGGTATGAGTGTGGGTGGGTGGGTTTGTGGGTAGGTGGGTGGGTATGTGGGTGGGTGGGTATGTGGATAAGTGGATTTGTTGTTAGGTGGGTGGGTATGTGGGTAGGAGGTGGGTAGGTAGGTGGGTAAGTGGGTGGGAATGAATGTGGCTGAGTGGGTGGGTATCTGGGTGGGTGTGTGGGTAGGTGGGTATGTGGTTAGCAGATGAGTAGGTAGGTAGGTGGGCGGGCAAGTGGTTAAGTGGACATGTGGATGGATATGGAGGGAAAACCCCCTCTGAGTTGGCAAGGCATGCTGAGCGAGGGCGGTGCGCCCGTGCAAGTACCACGTGGGTGCGGCACCGCGAGTACAGTGAGCGCGAGGCTGCTCCGACAGGGACCCCAATGGCCGATCGCCCGCAAGACGCTCCCGAGCGTGAGTCCGCCTCAGCTCTCGAGTCCCCCTCGGCCCCTCTGTCCAGGCGATGTCGCGCCGGCGTTAAGTAGACGCCGGACGGAAGCGCAGCCCCGGTGCCTCGGGGAGGGAGGGGGGGGTTCAACGCGCTGAGTCGGCACCGCCGACGACCTGGGTTCGAGTCCCTTCCACGGTGACCGGCTGGGGTCGTCTTTTTAACCTCGCCTCGATATGTCGCAATGGACATAGCGGGAGCAACTTCTGAGATGCCCGTGGCTGGGTTGTGAGTCCTGGGTCAGGCTGTGTCGCGTTGCTCTCTCAGAGAGAGAGACACACACACAGAGAGATGATGGCTTTGTCGGAAAGCATTTGAGGCCACCACTGCCGAGGCCATGGGTTCAGGCCTCGTGTCAACGCGTGGTGACGTGCTCACAACAATGTTCGTGTGACATAAACATTGATTTGGACTGAGACTGCACAATAGATAGCGACGCTGAGAGAGGCGTGAGTCACGAATTCACGAGGCTGGTACGGTTCGCTTAAAATGTACTCCCAACTTTTTTTTTCCACGTGTGCTCTTCGTGTAAATTATTTCGCCGTACCATTAAAATTAAATCGACCCAGCAACAACTCGGGTTTGAGTTTGCTGGGTCGAAGCCCCTCGGTATGTGTGTCGCTCAAGGGGGGTTCCTTAATAAACAGTCGCATCAGAGTATGAAGTGTCGATAAGAGGCCCTCAGAAGCGGTGTTTATTCATTTTATATCGCGGCATTCACCATCGAACGTCTCAAAACGCTGAACATCGCGCACCGCACTTGAGACGTCAAACGGTGACGCGACAAGAACAGCGCCAAGCCAGACGCGACACGACCTCGGGTGTGGCGACAATCAACACCGCGATCCTCTTGGGACATCGGCAAACGTGAACAGCAGAGAATACTAATCTAGATGAGAAGTTTCCGTGACTGCAGAGATCCATACTCTTTGAGTTCTTTCGGTAAAGTCACGTAGGTATGAAATAAATTAAATCACGACGTTTCGGGCGCATCGCCAGCGTCGGTCATCAGGTGGGGACAACCACAAATCCCCTACCCCACCTCTCTATCTCTCCTCCCTTGCTCCTCGCCCCTCTCCTACCTATATAACCTCTTGTCACAGCAGCCCTTTTGCCCACTTCAGCAATTGTTTCTTGCTGTGGTTGTCCCCGCCTGATGACGGACGCTTGTGTTGCGCCCGAAACGTCGTAATTTAATTTATTTTATATACCTACGTGACTTTACCGAAAGAACTCACAAGAGTAGTAGAGAATACTGTCATCGTCAAGACAATATTGCTTTGATGCCGCGTCATTCATGAAGATAACAACCCAGGGGGCTCAACGTTACGAAACCCAAGCACGTGTCAAGCTGTAGGCAGCAGCAGCAGCAGACAGCAGTTGTACGTGATCCCGCCTTCCTAGAGGCTGTTATTTAACGAGGCCAGCGACAGAAATGGCTCAAACAAACCTTTTCTTATTTTACCAGCTAAGGGCCACCGAGCAAAACACAGCTCTTTTTCAGAAGCGACTTGGCAACGAATGATAGCTCAACAGAGTGGCTAAGGGGCCGTCCATAAATGACATCACGCACCTAGGGGAGGGGGTGAGACAAACGCTTAGGGCCCCAAGAGGCTGAAGGAGCTCCAGATTCGTGAAAACGTGGATGGGCCACTTAGCGTCTAGAATTCAGATGCTACTGAACATAAACGCGTGAATTAACATAACATCAAATTGTGTCTATAGCTCTCTCAACAGTTTACATGTCTCATTTCATGACATTGAGTGTCTACATCGTGGAGAAGATGCACCGCTGTCTCAGAGTTCCAAATTAGAACATCCTTGTCTCATAACGTCACCGAATGGGCACATCTCTTAATATATTTGAGAAAGGAAACGCGTGGATAAATAACACTGCGAGCCATTATATCGTGCAGCGCGTAGGTTGTACATTGTTTTGTTCCTAGTGCATATACTTGCACCTGAATTCAGCGTTCACCAAAAATACAAGTGGGGATTTTTTTCCCTTCTCTTTATAGTTCAGAGGAACGAGTGCAAATTATTTTGTTAGTTTACAGCAGGGGGAGAGTCGGATCCCACTTTTTGTCTGCTCGCAAAGTGGCACTCACTTGAATTGATCCCAGAAGGATGATGGGCCGAGTCGATTTCCAACCGGGGTTAGAAGTAATTTGTTGTTTGTACGTCCAAACATAGTTATACCTTGACGGATAGTGACACGTAACTGCGTGAGGACAGCGTCAAGATTGGGCTGTCGGGAGACACCGGCTATGTTGCTGTACTGTGTGTGATGAGATTAAAGCGAATACACTGGAGACAATGAATTAGTGCAGGAGCAGTGTCAGCCATTGCTGTGGAGGTGACTGGCAGCTTGTGATCTTGACCTGTGACCTTGGTTCATAATGTGCAGACTTGTGGTTAGCACATCCTGGGTGTACATATTATTACAAACCACAATAGAACTTTGTATATGTATTTGGGGCATGGAACGGTGGCACGTCGGTAAGTACACTATGTTGAACTTTCGCACCGTACGTAGCCAACCACGCTAATTAGACGTGGGGGGGGGGGGGGGGGGGGTTGGTGGGACAACAAACTAAACACTCCGCAACCTAAGTTTGATTCCTGGCCATTGCTAACATAAAGGACTAGTGATACGTTAACCTTCCCAAGGTCCCTCCGATCACCAGCCTGTGCTGACCAGCGTAGTGAAGTATCGTTGAACGAGCCAAACAACTCCCATGACCAAAGTGTGTGGGGATTCGGTCATGCAGCAGTGGATTGATAAAGGGCTGTGCAGTTGACGTTCATATGTGGTTGGCTTAATTGGAAGGTGTTATTACATCTGTCATTTGACAACAGTGCCCACAATTGTGAAAATAGAAACTGGCAAAACATCAAAGTTATTTATTTATTTTTAAGTGCAAGTCTTCAACTCTTATCCATTCACTCTGTCTGGCCTCGATGTGGCATGAAGAAGGGCCGTTGCCCAAAACGTCACCAATTATAGTTGCATTAAAGGGCAAAAACCTCAACAACATTTAAACCATTTATAACGGGCAGATTTTCATGCAAACGCTAATTTCCCCGTTGCGATTTGGATGCGAGAAGCCATGCTTCATCTGCCCGACGACACGAAGGGGCCGTCCATAAGTGACGTCATGCGATTTTGGCCGATTTTTGACCCCCCCCCCTCCCTCCCTCGTCACACGGCGTCAGAAAAAGTCAGACCCCCCTCAAATATGACGTCACAAAGCTCTGCCCCCCCCCCCAACCATAATTTCATTTTTAAAATATGCTTCAAATCACTTTAAATTATTGTCATTGTACTGCGTATTTAATGTGGTGCAGCACTCTTGTGTTGTAGGAGAAACCATTTATTAAATAGGAGGCTGAAATTTAGCATAAAATTCACTTGAAAATATTCAACGTCTAACTAAAACTGCAGATGTTCAGAATATTATATTGAAATTCTCTTATAATTATAAAATATTTAAAGTAATTAAAAAATACTTGAAACTTTGTAGTAGAACGAAGCAAAATGGAGAGTACAATTATAACAATCACATTCCACAGAATGAAATGCCGTGGTCGAATAATTAAAATCAAAATATTTAATAATCATTCAAAAAATTTACAAAATGTATGCTTCTCCATTCTCCCATGGAGAAGCAAAATGCTCCTTCATGGAATAAATAAAAGGTGACCTTAGTAAATTTAAATAATCAAATAGTTAATAATGATTATTAATCAAAATTTGTGTTATAACAATTCTATTGTTTATATTTATTTAAAGTTGCGCATTTTGATGTGACGTCACATTTCTCAAACCACCTTTCCCCCCTCGTCACACATCGTCACAAATGTTTGACCCCCCTCCCCCCCCTAGGTGTGTGACGTCATTTATGGACGGCCCCTAATATGAGCCTTCCACTCAGAAGTGGCGGTGGATTTCATGATGATGCTGCTGCTGCGTTTGTGCAGCGGGATGCAATTCCAAATGATTGGAGCAGCCACAGAGAAAAAAGCATTTTGCCAGGACAGTTTGTAGAGGTATATACACAGTGGACATTGGTGTGTGTGTGTACGTGCTATACGCAGTTCGATTCCCGCTCACGACCAAAACCAGTGACAATTATCTGAACTGCTCTTGGGCCTCACCTAGGTTGGCTCAGACTTAAACGAGTACCTGGTGCGGTGTGTAAACATCGCCACCAGGGAAACAAAGGCAACCTGGCGTGGTGCTGGCCTCCCGCCCCCTCGTGTGCTGTGCCGGCATTCATAGGTGCTCTCTAACAGCACTTGCTAAACGGGGTGTCTTCGTATTTGTTTTACACAGACTGCCCTGGAACAAGCAGCGAGCAGGCCGGGAAGGTGTCGGCCTGCCAAGGATGCCCCAACCAGACACTGTGTGCATCTGGCGTGACGAAGGCTCCAGATCCAGGTACCCGGAATGAATTTATACACATCCTTTGGATCATATGTATTTGAAGGTATACTGAATCGGAAGCTTTTTTTCCATTTGATTTCATTATTTTAAGAATTATATGGTGTATTTTAACACTTTTATTTTACTAACTTAATAAGAATCCCTAAGCGCCAATACGTTTAAATACATACAATATGCATTCGGTGGGTATCTTGGGCAAAAATGTAATGGTGAAAGATATAATGTGTGATATTTGTGTGGATGGAGATGAGAAGATGGGTTTTTAATAAAGGTGTGAGTCATGAAAATGGGGTTTTCTCCTTTCTGGTAATAAAACAGGTGTTAAGATGTTAAAACACCAAACTGAAACCTTTGCAAGGAATCATATCTGCACTAACCACACATAACGGTACTTGTGGTGAATATGCAAACAAAAAAACATGTTCTGACAGTATGTGCATTGTCGTTGAAACTGATTGGTCCACACCAGAGACAGCTTTCTTTAGATTTCGATTTAAAGCTTTCGTGACTGCAATGATTCATCTTCTTTGGTTCTTTCGGTAAAGTCACGTAGAATGAGAATAAAATAATAAATTCTTTAGAGCCTAGTCTCAAACAGTGTTAGACCAGAGGACGCCAAAAGGTGAACAGCACAAAGACAACGCACGATCAGGACATTGAGAGCTCGGGGTGAGCGTCCTCTGGTCTAACACTGTTTGAGACTAGGCTCTAAAGAAAGCTGTCTCTGGTGTGGACCAATCAGTTTCAAAGACAATGCACATACCGTCAGAGCATGTTTTTTTGTTTACATGTTCACCACAAGTATATGTGGTTAATGCAGACAATTCCTTGCAAAGGTTTCAGTTTAGTGTTTTAACATCTTAACACAACTGTTGTATAGCCAGAAAGGGGAAAACCATATCATAATTTAATACTGGCAAACGAGGTCTCAAAAGGTGTGAGTCCTTCATGGTTGTGCAGTGTTTCCTTATAATGCTGTTTCTTTATATTTGTGAATGTAATTTGAAGCAAACACAAAGACCGGATTATTTCTTTCACGAAGGAGAGGCATGGTTGGTAATAGAAGCATGCACAGGAAATTCAATATTCCAACAGAGTGGCAGAAAAACCTAATTCCCTATGGTTAACAGACTCAAGCCATGATAAGCGTTATAAGAATTCAGGTTTAGAACTGTTTCCCTTCAACGTGACTTTACCGGAAGAACTAAGAATATGTAAGAAAACAAGTTTACATCATGAAGGTATCTGTCCAAAGATAAAACTGCTTCATATTTTCTAATAAATTCCAACCTGCCTAAACATATCTTTATTCTCCCATCAGTAATTACCCTGACTAGTGCCAAAAAGCTCAGTTGTTCATGTATCCCTGCTTAGGTTGAAACAACTTTACTGAACTCTTTAAATTCCTAATCACAGCACCATGGGGTGACCGTACAGCACAGATTTGAGGTCGGGAGGCAGGCGGGGTGGAGACCTTGCCTGATACACAAAGGACATGGGTTCAATTCGCTGCCTCGGATTACAATGTACTCTCTGGAATTTGGAGCCAATGGAGGGATTGGAGGAGTCGGCGGTGTGGTCCCCTTCACGGACGTGGAAGAGAAGTCTGGACTGTTTAAACAAATCTAATAGTACTTCACTTCCGATTGGCTCCGTTGACTATGTACGGTGGGAAAGAAGTTATCCATACATACGAGAGGGTTGCAATTGTTAGTCGAGTTGTGATGAAAGCATGGATGAGGGTTTGAGCAGCGGCTCGTGCATTACATTGTATTCGTATTCTTTGGGTCTTTCGGTAAAGTCACGTAGAACAAAATAATTCACAAAAAACTACGACGTTTCGATCGCAACACGCGCAATCGTCAAGGCTTTGTTGTGTCCTACCTGTCATCTACATTGTATCTCGACAGAGCCACACTCTTTTTAACTTGACAAATACAGAAGACCTTTTTTTAATGTACTATTACATTTTTTTTAACGGTCACAATTGGTCGTTTGGCTCTCATTACCCTGCCTGCCATCCATCATCAGCGAAGGGGATGTTTCGTGGGGGTTGTTTATTGCGTGCCACCCCTCCCCCCGCCAATGTGCCAGGTGTGCCATAACCCCCTGTGGCACCTTTGCCCAGAAGATAATGTTATCTAGATGGCTGCTGCCAACGTAATCACTCCAAATCAGAAATGGGACCATATTAAACCTGTCATTAAGCGCATTTCCTGGCTTCCTATTGAATTTCATATCAGCTACATAATCTCTGTAAGTATAAAGAAATAATGTATGGCTTTTCTCTTACCCATTTTTGTGACCTCATTGCCCTCCACGTCCTCTGTCTCTCATTCAGCCTGCTGTCGGAGAGAATCCTTCTCTCGTCTGTCCTCTTCTCACGACGAGAGGTCACTTGTCCTCCTCTTCCGTCCTGTGGTCTCCTTTGACCTTCACCTCACTGTCAGTCCAGTAGACTTGATTAACTGTGCTTCAATGAACCGCACGTGCTCAATTGCGTGCGTGCACTGGTTAATCTATTTTTGACTGAGGGGTGTTGGGAGGACTCATGCCTTGATGATTGACACGGGCACCTGTAACAGAACTCACCAAAGTCCTTGCTTACTCTCTCCCTGTCAACTGGGCCTCCTCGAGCAAGAAATGTCTTGGCAGTAGTCTAAGGGTCGGATGGTCTGAATAGGCTAAGCAACTTGTCTAGCAGGTGTACTGAACTTAGTGTGCTAACTTGCGGCCCCCCGGTTTAAAGTGTATAGCGGGCTGGTCTAGAGACCCTGCGGTTTTATACAGGGGCCCCTACAAGCTGGTGAAGAGGCCAAGAAAGCTGATGTAGGCCTGCAAAGTGGTGTAATTGTCACATTTATTAAAATGAGCAGAACAGGGGGTGCAGTGATGAAACACCCTTGCAAACATGATGCTCCGTCTTACGAGATTTTTCCACATTGAATGCTTCAACCATTGAAGACGGTGGCAATGGTGAGGGGCTATCGGCCGGCTCGCCTGGTGCCATTGTATCCTCCCAACTCTTCTCCTGGCACCCCCATATCTGGTCGCTTCATGGTTCTCTCTTCACGTGCGCGCTGTAATCCTACCTCGCGCTGTCTACCAGTTGTCAATGACCAATCGTCGATTTGATTTTGTTTTGCCATTTTAATGTTTTTTTCTACGCGAATGAAGGCATTGATATGAATGAGCAAAGCAATTTATGACGGCTGAACACCCGCGCTGTGATTGCGTGATGAAGAAAGTAACAAAATACAAAGCGGAAGAGGTGTCTGGCAAGGAGATGCGCTCCCTCAAAAAGGTGTTGACAGTAATATTAGGGCACATTTTGTGAAAATTTGGATTGGACAAACTAATATAGGTGGAGAAAAATATGAACCGTCTCAGATTTGCCGATGACAGTTGTTGTGACAACCATTGGAAATGAATGATGGAAAGTGATTGGAGAACTTAAGAATCAAGGCTGCAAGATTGAGCTCAAAGATAAATACAGTGAACTCTTGTTAATTTGAGACATATGGAGCTCTGGCCTTGCCGAATTAGCCAATATTCCAAATTATGTACAATGCCTCTTGCCCCAATAAAAAAAAAATCTAAATTTATTTTCCAATAATTATTTTAAAAAAAAAGTAACACTTACCAACAGTAACCAGATAAGAAAATACGCATTGATACACCTGCACCAATTCTATCCTAAACTTTGGATTCGTCTCGCAGGCTAAAGAATGTATACTGCAGTCCCTTTGCATTTTTTATGTAGGTGAAGACGACATTTGTGAGATGGTTGGCTTGCACAGAGTGCATTAACAAGGTAAAGTCCAAAGCAACAGGTCTGCACAAATGCTCACCACGCGCGCCGCCGCGAGACCAAGTCGTTGTTTTGGTCGTGGCGTGCGGCATCGCTCCACGCGCTATGCCGAAATTGGACCATTTGGTATGGCAATTCGGCTCATGGCGAATTACTAATATACAATATATGCAGAATTATCCCCAATTACGAATGATCAAATACCAAAATAGCGAGGTTTATTGTATAAGGAAATAACAAAGGTCATGTACAACAAGGTCACTAAATGTACGTTGGAGGGAATGACACCGAGGGAAATTGTTGGTGGGCGAATCTGGATTAGAATGATTAATTAAATAGGTGAGCAAGAACATGAGCAAGAGCTTTTGATAGATTACATCATTTGAAAATGAAAAGCTACGTACCACAGTGCTTGAATTAGAACGCTTTTAATGAGTGCAGTGTCACCTGCCATGACACCTCTTGCAAACATGGACACTTACTAAGCAAATGGAGTAAAACCCAAAAAGTGGTGTGCGAGGAAGCACGGAGAGATTCCTGCTTGGGGGATGACACTCGAGATTAGCACCGCCGATTAGCACGGCTGGCTAAGAGCGGTGCGAAAAAAGAAGTTCAACACGAATACAAGAGACAAAAAGAGAAACACGTTGATCAGAGAACGATCACAAATGAGCGACACCTTACTGTCAGAAGAAAATGAGAAATGCTTGGGCAGGACACATCCCTGGAAAGATGCGTGGCGAAGGGATGAAGTTGGGGAAATGTAAGGACAGCGCAAGGAGGGAACACACTGACTTCATCTGCGTCTGCTTTGGAGATGGAGCAATGACATCGGCTCGGGTGCAGGAACTAGATTGGACCGTCGCTTCCCGAGACCGTGAAGGAATGTGACGACTCGGGCATGAGGCTTTCATCCAGAAGGTTGTCGTTCATGGCTGATGATGATGACAATGATCCCTGCAGTCAATAGAGGTGCTACGTTCGCCACAGTGTAAAATTGTTTTTGATCCTGGAATCGAGTCGTAACACTGAACCGAGTAGATGTATTGAATCGTAAGGTGGGGAGAGGCGGGATCATTACAGGTCTAAGTTACATCAAACATTTGTTACCCGCGTGACAATTTCCCCAAGTGATGATGTTTGATAAATCCACAGAGCAGTGTGGAAAAACTCAGTTCCACCATAGGAATGTGCAATTTCCACTTCCCGCTGTTGACTGCCACTCGAGATCAGTCCTGTCCAGCGTTTTAACGTTGTTACACCTGGATTATTGTGGACAGCAGGAATGGACAATGTTGCAAATTCATATTTGTACTGTACTACATGGCAATGTCTATGCTCGCTGTCTTCACCACCACCCCCACTGACCAGCATGGTGAAGTATGGGCAAATAACCCCCATGAACCCACGTGAAGTGGGGAGGCCCTCATTCAGTAGTGGATTGACAGACTAGCTCTACACACTAAGTACACACAACCTCTGACTTGACCTTCTGTCGGGCGGCTTCGTCCTTTCAATGTTTAATGCTGTAACATTTGTGCAGCGATGAGATATATCTTTGTTTATAGCGAAATTGATTTGCGGTAACGTTGCATTAGTATGCTGCACACTAGCCCAGGGTGTTGCCCAGACCACGGGTTTTTCGCCGCGCTGCGATCGGTACTCCTTTGAGCTCCACTAATGGGTTGATTGTGTGTTGTTGTTGCAGCGATTAAAGAAATAAAGGAGAGGTTGGCCTCTGTGAAGTACAAGGTGCTGGTGCTGTCGGGAAAAGGCGGCGTGGGAAAGAGCACCTTCAGCACTCAGCTGGCTCGTGGCATTGCGGAGGACAAAACCAAACAGGTGGGCAACATCTCGTTGTGCTAATGGACTTTTCACGAGCTTTTAAAAACAAAACGGGCGCTGAAGCTTTTTGCTATGGCAAGCCTTGCGGCGCTTGCCGTGGCATGTTTATCTTAATCACCTCTCAAAAAGCCTCCGTTGGCTAAAACGAATTTTGTTTTGTAGCGGGAGTCGTTTATAATACTGTTTTCGTCAATGAGCTCGGCCCTGGTAAAGTAAATAGAAAATATACTTCGAGACTCTACGTCTGTAGATGTAGGCACATGAAGGGTAACCATTCCTTTGCCGTGAAAGGTAAACGATGTGTATGTATGTTGAACTTCTTTCGCAGCGTACATAGCCATCCGCGCTAATGTATGAAATGGAACACAGTACAGTACAACCACATCTCAAGACATTGGCCAAAAAAGAGTGTGACATGCGCATCATGTAGACAGTGATATGCAGAGTGTATATGCGCATATACTCGAGAAAAGGAGTGTAAATACACTAGAGCTCTCTTGAGTGGTGGGGCTTCCACCAGCAGTGGCAGGAGAAGACGTGGTTATAGGCTGAAGAGTTTAGGAAGGTCATTGAGCCTGGAGTTGAACATGGGCAGGGAGTATATGGCACGGGTGGCTGGGGTGTGGCATTTTCATATTGTGCAGGCAGTAGTGGCTGACTGTAATGGAATATCAGACTCAGAATCCTTATTTATACTGGGGGAATCCGGTTGAGCTGTGAAGCTCTTTTTTCCCCACAGACGTCCAGTAAGGTGAAATGTGTCATCCCTGGTATATGTCCAGGGCTGAGGAACGGCAAGTTGCTAATGATGGGCGTTGGTTGTTATTCGTTGTTGGCACCCAGAAGTCTGCTGCCAAGTTGAAGGCCGAATGGCAGATGGCACTGTGGTGGAGCGATTAACAATTCCACGGCCTTGCGTTAAAACGCCACTTGCTGGTTTGACTCAGCCCATCGGCTCCTCGGGGGCAATATTATGAGCAGCACCCCGTTGAGCCGTCCAGAGTAGCCATACGAAAGACGGGCTTATCTCTGCCATCGTAATGTGGATTTTCCACCACTTGCCAACAAAGATGAGCATTGCTCCACACTCTCTCGTGAGTGGGGGGGGGTGGGGAATTTTTGATTAATTGGAGTTGTTGATGAGTTGTGGGTAGGTCGATCGTCTTGCGACATTAGGTTTCCAAGAGATCAATGCGGATAATAGGATTATATTGCATATGCGCCTTTATAATCCCAGCGTCACTCACTCAAGCTATTTACTCTACTTCGCTGTGACAGTTTATTACACCCAATTGTGAAATGTTTCAAGTCTATTTAAAAATGCGTGTAAGCATTACTGAAGGGAATGGAATTCCTTTATTTCATTTAACTCGTATACTCTAATGAAAGTCCTGGCATTATTTATTGTATGCAAGTATTCTCGTCTATTCTTTATGTTGGAAGAGCTGCTAATGGAAGTGAAGGTGTATAGGCCCTATATATATCATATAAGCTCGTGGCAATGTGTTTTACCGAGTAGATGCAGAACTATACATCCTGAATGGAGCTCTGCAGGGAAACCAGAGCCACGTGTTTCTTGATTTCCAAAGTAACAGTTCTGTTGAATGTACTCTGTAAATGCAACATCTCATAACAATTTCGAAAAACAAAGTGTAAATCCACTCTTTTGCCCATTCTAGTTATTTTAACAATCTGCACAAAGTGACTGCAACTCATTTTCCCTGAGCATTCTTCCTTGATTCTTTTACTGCGATCGTACATCAAAAAAAGTTTATCTTCTCTAATTTGCAAGTTTCCGTCTTGTGAAATTTGGTGCTTCAAATATGGAAATCCACCCATTTCCACCGTTACCTTGTGAAATCGTCTTCTCTGTTAAATGTTATAGCCACTCTTTCTCTCTGCCAGTGCTTCGAAAATATCAATAAATAAATCCCCCAGGTCTTGATGACATTACTGCTATTGGCCTGGAGAAGCTCCACATTTAAACTGGCTTCCCCATTGCAGTACATTGTCCGTATCAACCATATTGAAACTCCCATTCCGTTCTATCATATTGGAAATTAAATTCATTTGGAGGCACACATTTATCTTAACGCCAATCCACTGCTGGCTGAAGGCTTTCCCATGCTGTCAGTCATGGACATTTGGAGGTTGTTTGACCATACTTCACCACACAGGTCATTGTGGGTTGTAAAGGGGTGCAGGGGTAGGTCCATTACCAGTTACATCCAGTTCAGATGTCACGTTAGACATGGCCAGTGATCAAACTCGGGTGTTTTGGTGCATAGTGCAGTGTGCTAACTACTGCACCACTGCAGTGGTTAACTCCCAACGCTGTCATCGTATGCTGTTAACTCCGTGATGAATTGGCAACTTTTTGTGCGTTTTGGGAACACCTTCTGTAATGGCAGTGAGTGCTGTTGGCCCCATTAAAGGATGTTCACTGGTGGATGTGATCGCTTTAACATGTCTTCTGTAGAACATTGTTCTCAACGTCCTCTGCAAATTAGGAGTTGTAGCTCCCAAGGGGATCTGGACCGCTTTCAAAGATTTTCTCCATTGGCATCCAGCGTGACATTTGCTATCTTTTTTTATGTTGTTATCAGGTTGCACTAATTTCAGTGTTCGTTAATGGTTTTCGTTCCGAGCTATTTCTAATTAACCGTAGCGTACCTCTGGGCTTGACTCACTGGTTGGCATCGCAGTGTGTGAAGTCAGTACTTTGGAGGTTAATGATGCAAATAACCCGTAAGGGGCCATTTGAGTACAATGTCAATGTAATTTTAAATACTTCACATTTCAATCTTAAAATATTATCACATTACATATTAGGCACATAATGATTCAGTCTCGTGGCCATTTGAAGAGCTGGTTGTGATTCAGGGTGTCTCAATTTGATTGAGGAATCAGTTATTTTTGTCGGTTTTTATTTCCTCGTTTATATTTTATGTTCCGTTTGTCCTATCTTGTTCATTCCATTAGCCTCCAGGTGTATTTAGCGTGCAATTTACATATATATCTCAATCCATTCTTACACGTTCAATTTGCTGCGTTTATCATGAGCGTTTGAATCAATGCACGGGTGGTATTGCACATTCCAAGTGTGTGTGTGTTTTTTAAACGTTGTGTGTATAGTGCTGTTATTTACAGATGCCTCAAGGTTTATCGTGGTATTAGGGTTAGTGAATTCATGATCTAATTTTGATTGATGTCATTATGCTATACAACGCAGCATGATGCGTTATAAATCTATATATCTTCACACATGGCAGTGAAACATTTGAAGTTTTCACTTTTTTCCCCCAGAGTATTTTTCTTGTAAAGGGGCGAAATTTGAATATAAGTTTTAATTTGTTTACTGATAAACAGTACAGTATATCCATTCAAAATATTTGTAAAAATGTGTTTTCAGGTTGCTCTATTGGACATTGACATCTGCGGTCCATCTATTCCAAGAATCATGGGGCTGCAAGGCCATCAGGTGAGAAGTTCTCTCCTGCCTTCACTGTATAAGAAAGAACATTGTTGTGGACAACGGAGAGGGATCATGAATGATTCCGAGTGCACATCAACAGAGGCACCACTGGGGAAAGCAAGTAGTTGCAGTGAACGGCGAGGGCCGGCACTGTTTTTACTCTCGCCGCAGTGAGGTCTGAGACAACAAAAAAAACCCTGAGACGACTTGGGAGGCGTTGGAGAAAAGTGCCGGGGGTCTGGAGACTTGAATGCGGAGCGATGCCGACTGAATGAGAAGCTTTCCAAACGTGACGGGGTGTCACCAGACTTAATGGGTCTGGCTTAGCAACTGAAAGAGGGAATATTTAACAACTATCCAGGACGTGATGGCTGCCAGTGGGGCCTGGAAACATTCTGGAGATTTCAGGCAAAGGGGCCGTCTATGTCATCTTCGATGAGTGAATGAAAACTTCGCTTTTCTGTGAATTTGCTTTTCTGAAGTAACTCGTGCCCCCTCATATACGACAAGAGACGTTTCCCTGAGGGATGATTGCAACTGAACACTGAACACTATCTAATTGTTTCGTAGAACTTTCATTGTTTTCATGTGATGTTACTGTACTTGTGATGATGGTGTTGGTAATGATATTGCTGTGGATGATGAAGTCGATGTCGAATATATATGCATTGAATTACTCTGTAACGTAAAGGTAAGTGCAAGTGCTTATACGGCTCCTTAAAGACAGAGAAGATGCCCTGGGTTGCCACTTCCTGTGCTTTTGTCTGGCGACGGCACCCAGTACCGCCATGGCTACAAACATGGCTACTGGAGAATTGACAACATTCGTCTCCATTTCCATTTGAACAGAAACGACCACGTGACTTCCCGAATCAGTTGGGAGCCACCTTCTCGATACACTTGGGCGACTGACTCATGTTTTGGGTTTGCAGTTGCGTTTTTTTAAAAGCATTTTTAGTGATAAAGCCTCACGGTCCCACAATGCACCAAACTCTCTTCTGCACATGAGCTGATCTCATCCCTCCACATCCGTGGTGCTCATTCCCTGGGGTGTGTACTCCCCCAGCGCCCATTCTCTCTACGTGAAGTGTCCTGTCCATGCCCACCCGCTTGCTTCCCAGTCAATTAGCAGACTAATTTGCATTTTTTCTGTGATCCGAGTTTTTGCTCTTTCTATATTTTTTAGGAGTGTCATTTCAGGCATGTATCTCTCTCTCTCTGCTTCTTTGTACACTTTTTTTGTTTTTTGCATGGTTGGCTACGTATGGTGCAAAAGAAGTTTAAAAAAACATACACAGAAGTGCATTTTTGTGAAACATGTTCAACTCGAATGATTTTGTTTCGTATAATTTAGGCTAATTTAAAACAACCCAAAGGATTGTTCCCCCATTTCTGCTTCTGTTTTCTGCATTATGTTTTTGTCCATTGAGGTGCTATTTGGTGTTTTTCCATGCAAACAACACCGTGCCAGTGGTTATGTATACACTGTGAAAGGGTGAGAAAATGTGAACGTCTATGAAAAAAAACTAAATGACAGTTACACGCTGCACAGACAGGTTACTGAGACACATGCACAGTAAAAAGTGTTTTTTTGATGCATGGGGAAATTATTTACTTCTTTAGAAGTGAGAGAACATACTCGAGATTAAGAATACGCGGCTGTGTGTGAAATGGTCGGGTTTGTTGGACATCTGTACAAGGCGAAAGTTACTCCATGTGCAGATGTTGCACTGGGTGAGGAGGTAATTGGCCAGGGTGGATATGTGATGGTCGGATACATGACGTACTGTATAGTACTGTACTATACATATGGTACCTAATGTAATACTGGCATATATACATCTTTATTATATCATGGCTTGTGTGCTTTTCATTGCTTTTTTTATCTAGTTGTTAGCGTTCTACATTTTTAAAAACAAAACATTTTTAATTAAAGGTCATTAACAATTTTTTGTTGTTGCCATTTTCCCCTCTACCAAATGTAGTTATTTAACAGTTATTAGTCAATTTAACACGTGAGCGTTCGCAACCAATACAATGTGTCACGTGACAAACTTTACCAATTGGCTGTGTCGTGTGGAGGTGGGTGTACGACACGTTTACATTTTCGCGATCTAACCCACAAAACCTTATCATGTGCACCTTTATCATGTGCACCTCCGATTAGCACGGTTGGCTACGTACGGTATGAAAGAAGTTCAACATACATACGAGCCGCATAACAAGGCATTTTCTATTCAAAACCACTTTAAGCAATCCCGGCAAACATCCAGTTTTGAAATGACCTGGAAGTTATACCGCATAGCAGGCCTATGCCAAATTGCGATATTTCTACGGCATTTCTGTTATGGATGCTTCGCCGCCTGCAAATGAACGGGTGAGTGTTCACTCTGTGCGAGTGTAATGAATGAATGCCTCACAGCTGAGCCGAGTCAAATGTTGAGGCTCCCTCATATACTGCCAAGGTGAAAACCTGACTTTGAGGGTTGGGCCTTGAAATCAGGCCCTCCGTGCGGTTGCTGCCTCAGTGCTCAGCCGTGCGCGTGGCGTTACCCGTTGGAGTCGCCCATCCACCTGAATGACAAAGCATTTTCCCTTGACAGTTTTCACTGCGTAAACCTATTTGAGCAGTTAATTACTTTGAATAATTTAAAAACATGAAGAACCCCCCCCCCCCCGCCACTGAGAAAATGCGTCTCAAAGCCGGTAAATCTAGAAGTTGTATGATAACGTACTCCTTTTGCATTTTCATTCAGCAGCATGACAGCTTCTGTAATGGCCCTAAATGAACCGATTGTGCTTGCCCCACGGGCCCCGTACAGAAGCACGGCCGCAGTACAAGATGCCACTGTTGCTCGCCAGCATTCTTGTCACGCACAAGAAAAGTGGCCGTGTTTATCAGCGAAACTGCTTCAAGTAGAATTTGCACGGAGGCTCTCCGTCCGTGTGTGTGTGTGTGTCTTCTGGTGACATTCGCAGTACAAAGGAATTGTTGTACATGGGTTGAAATCAATGCATTGATGTAGCAAAGTGCATGAAAGTCAGTCTTTGTTGATAGGGCGTAGCTTCTCTGGCATGCCGAAAAGAGCATCCAATGTAAACATACATTACGTGAGACTGCTTTTAATCATTCATTTTACTCGTTGGCAAAAGATAAATCGGATAGATTATTTCATAGTCTTTGAGTCCGTATTCTGCATACTTTTGCAGCATGGCTGCTTGTAGGTTTACTTTATATATGTATACATATATAAAATCAAGCACGTCAAATTCAAATTCCAAGTGTCCTAACTGTGCTTGTATTAGTGGACATGAGTAATGGAGCTGTGTATACTGCAGGGGAAATGAAGCCTGTGTAGCAGCAGTAGAAGCAGCTGCACAAAACGGTGCTTAGGGCATTCTCCAAATTCTCCACGGTGTCAGTTTTTGCGTGGTTCCAACTTCATTTTAATCGTTTGAAGCGGTTCAAAAAGACCAAAGGACCAAGTGATATAGGATTATATTGTAGTACACGACTGAAGCCCTACCTGGGTTGTTTTCCTTATCGTAAATATTATGTTTGGCATACGTTGTATCTCATTTCAGAGGTTAAATGAAGATACGTTTAATTTTGTCATCCCCAAATGTGATTCTTGCAATTCTGCAATTGTTTTTGTAAACCAGTGTTATTCTCTGATATCCCATCCTCCGGTATCATCACATCTATTAGCAGCTTCATACCAGGGCCAAACATAAATATAATATTTATACAAACCAACATTATTTTGGTTGTTGATCTTTTTTTAAATATATTGATGGTTTTGTTTTTCTCTCTTTTTAGGTTCATCAGAGTGGCGCGGGCTGGTCTCTTGTGGTAAGCGACTTGACAATCCACCACAAAACAACATGCAACAGATCATTGGTCGCTACTTCACAGTACACGTATAAATCAACGCACGCATAAGTAAAGAGCAGTGTATGACATGTTGGGAGCAGTGGGGGAGGCATTGCTCTGAACCCCGCGAGCTGAGTTTTGATTCCCACCCATGGCTAGCATCAGGAGTGAACAACATCCAAACCGATTCTGGGTGCGTCCCATTCACCAATTGATCATACTACCCCCATGACGGACACGGCATGGGGAGTCCTTTCTCCAGAAGTAGATTGACAAAGGGCTCGAAGTTATTGCAATGTTATATGCAATGTAGAATTTGTTGTAAATTAGGACACTATTCCACCTTTTATCGCTTGATCCGCTTACGTGTTTGCATTATTTTTAACTGATTGTGTCGTCTCTAGGCTGTTAGGGCACAGATATTTCAGACTTTATTATTTGTAACGCTTCCCTTCCTGGGCCCAGAAGAAAGGTGGTGTGATTGACAGGACCGTGTCCATTGCCACACAACTGCTCTGCTGCAGCAACCCCTATGCCAGATTATGGAATGTGTCGTTTCAATGGCTGGACTGTCACAGTGTAGGCAGGATACAATTTGTGCCTCCGTGCCCATGTCAATCTGTGAAATTTCCAATCTAGCATATTCCAAAAATACCCTGTGCTTTCCTAAAGTCTGTATGACCAAGATTTTGTATGCAATAGCATGTTTGGCTTATTTATTTAAACAACAAAATATATGTTGAAGGCACCAACCCCAACATTTTCTGTCCGTTATACATTTTTTGCTGGGCAGTTTTCACATGAGACCATGGTATAACCAGTGTTCATGGTCTTGAGGAACAATCGGAAGAAATGTACAAAATGCTTATTTTCGTGTGAGGATTTATTCATGGTTTTATAATTGTTATGCCAGCAAAATGTTCTTTAACTTAACTAGAATGTTTCAAAATGTTAGACTATTAAACTTGTTGTGATGGGTCATGGGTTTTAAAAAATTGTCGTTTGACGGTACAGTATTTTTATTTACCTTCATTAATTGGATTTCTCATGCATTGTTCATGTCTATAAAAAAAGTCATGACTCGCTATGCGCAACTCTCGGCTAACCAACGCAATTACAATCCAGCGCTGCTGTGCCAACTCTGCATTGTCATACTGCAGCCTACAGAAAACCGCGGCGCGTGGCGTTGTAGATTCTGGAGAGAGAGCCGTCGTAACGTGGGCACGGTGAATGTTCGCCGTCGCCTCACAGCCCCCTCCAAACTGAGGATTAGCCCAGTGTCACACCCAGAGGGTGACACAGCACTCAGATAATCTCCGTGCCCCCCCCCCCCCGACAACATAACAAATGGGCGGTGTTTAGGAGTTCACTCCCCCCGCGATCCAAAAGTGGCACGCGAAGTCATCCGTAAGCTTCTGCGTTGGTTGCTCCTGGCTTTGTAGCAAGCGAACAACAAAAATCCAAAATCCAATGTCTGACATCTTCTTTGGCGCTGTGCCTTCACAGCAGGGTCCTTGGTTGTCAACTTCTCAATCCTCCTCAGCTCCTTGCCCTCCTCTTCATTTCCACAAATGCCCCGTTCCTCCAGCTCCTCCTCCACCGTCCTAATCCTTGGCCTTCCTCTCGTCCTTTTCCCGTTTCTGTCTTCCTTCTATATCGTCCTTCACAAAACAACGAGGAAAACCCATGCATATGCATGGCTTCTGTAACACTTTCCAAGGTATTTGTACTTGGAAATATTGAATTTTGTTTAAAGAAGGTGTATATAGGGCGCCAGGGTGGCGAAATGTTAACGGTATACAGGAGGTCGTGGGTTCAATTCCAACCCTGATGCCTGTATATTTGAAATTTGCGTGTTCTCCCCGTGGTCGTGTGGCTTTTTCTCTGGGCCCTCCGGTTTTTCCCTCCACATTTAGAATCAACATACAGAAACATGGACATTAACAATGAAAGTGGGAAGTGCAAATGATGGAAAGATGTTTAGAATTACATTGAGAGACAACAAGAGGACAATTTAAAGTATATTTTAAATCGGTGAGAACTCAAGAGACAAGGATAGTCTCAATTGCAAAGGGTGCCCTTGGTCACCAACATGGTAAAAACAATAACGTAAATACAAGTACAAAGATGAAGCTAACATAAATCAGAGCAAAAATAACCAAATAGGAGCAAAAAACAGCTGCAATACACGGAAGAAATCTAAATCTTGCACAAATGCAAACCATATTAAATAAAATAAATTGCCCTATAACAAAGGTTGGCTTGGAGGAATAAGTTTTGAAAACCATTAAAAGTTTTAGAAACACATTTATACTGACTGTACGTTTATTGCACTGGTATCTTATGTCAAATATGGCTGCAAGTGAAGTTATCACGTGGAATCGACAGCTTGGCATCAAATTCTGAATTATATGGGAAAGTTAACCAGGATATTTTGAAAGCAATGACACTCGAGGTGTTTGGGCCATTAATGGAGTATTTTTTGTCCCGGATACAGTCCACTTCAGTGCTCTGGGGGGCACCAAAGACTTTTGAGGGTTTTGGTCCTGATTAATCATCTTGTGGAGATAAGAGACTGAGTTATGTGTGTATGCATTTAAGATGAACTTCGTCCAATGAATCTCACTCTGGAGTTGAAAAGAGCGAGATGATAACCAGTCTTGAAGTAGAAATGGCAGTGATGAGTGGATTAGCTAGTTTGTGAGATAAAGCATGAGGTGGAATGAAAGATAAAATTGAGCGAATCCTAGGTGGTTTTCGAGGTTAATTTGTATTTGATTTGAGCTTGGCCTAGGACAGACATAAAAGCAGCAGCTTCCAAAGGTTGCCACGCCGAAGATGAGAAGCAGGATTAGTTTTCGATAAAAAAGTCCCCAACTTCATTTTCACGTTTTAAAATTCAGATTTTCGATGAGATTTCAAGTGAAACATTTGTAGCTGTTGAGAAAACTAAATGGCTGATAGCATGCATTTGAATTCCTACCGCAATAATTCTAATAATGACAAAAAAAAAACATTTAAATAAAATGTAATTAAATTTTTTTTATTAAATACCAATTTTTCAGCCATTTTGTCAATCCACTGCTGGACGAAGGCCTAACTCAACAAACTGTTTTATAGTCATGGGGATTGGTTGACCGCACTTGAACACGCTGGCCACCGCGAGTCGGCGAAGTCCCAGGGGCCATTTCAGATGTCACTGGCAGCCGATTTGGCCGCCGATGTTTGCCCGTGGCCAACGTTCGAGTTCAGATAAGGCGGCATCAGCGCAGTGCTTGATCCAACGCGCCACTGCTCTCAAACCTCCCCTCGTCGCCTGTGCTAATCATAATGGCGTAAATACCTCAACCCTGTAATGGAATTCTGGGTCTCCATGTGCGGCTTCAGATACGCAATGCTCACCGCAGTGTCTCATCACTGGACTGCGAATTAGAATAATCGGCCGTTAAATCTGTCCGCAGGCTGGTTTGTCAAAAAAAATTGTTTTTGTTACTTTGGACTTAATTTGCAGACTATGATTACGCAACCAGAATAAACACAGGTTAGGGATACCGATTCTTATATATTGAGGACTTAAATAACTGCAGAAACACTGAGTTGAAAAACAGTTGTGAGAGGGCTAAACAACCAAACGAACGAACAAGAATCAACAAACGTAGGACAACACTGGAGCAAAGGAACCATGAAAAACCCCCGGCTTGGGTAGCCACCCATCCTGTTTTCACTGAATCGTCCTCTTTTTGAAGTAGCTGTCCTGGGAAATCTGTAAGTCTTCCCGGGCACGATTAAAGGTCCCGTTGTTTTTGTTAGTTGTGTAATTATGAATGCACCACATGTCGTTATCCTCTCTTCCGGTATTACCGGAAATCATAATTCTTTTCACCATGATATGCCGCGGATTTCCCCCCTGCCCCCCTCCCCATAGGTAGTAACCATTACCCTCCTAGCATTCACAAATTGCGGTGCAACCGCCATCGCAGGCGGGCGAACCGATGACCGTTAGAGGCAGGGAGGCGGAGAGAGTGGGCTGACCTACGCACTTTCTATCTCGCTCAGCCTCAGCCTCTCCGCTTTGAGGTCCACAGGCATTTTCTATTTTGAGGTTACCAAGGAAATGCTAATTTTTTGGTTCTTGCAAATATCAACACGTCCTGCAAACTCTCACGTCTAATCTTATATGTATGTATGCACTCTGACATTTAGATGGGTTATGTAATGTGCAGAATGTTGCCGTTCCGCCAACTATGGAAATGCACGTGTTAAACAAAAAAAATACTGTAATTGATAACTTGATTCCTTATAGTTTCAACATTGAATTCATTAAAGATAATTCTTAAATGTAAAATTACATTCACGAATTGAATAAAACGATCTATTGATACATATGTACATAGTGAATTGTAATTAAAACAATTTTATCACAGTCTGCTAACCTGATATGATGACAGACTTGTTGAGCCATCGTTTGAAACCCGGCAGATTCATTGTACGATGAATCACTTGCGCTGGCTCAAATTAAATTTTCAGTGCATTTAAAAAAAAAAATTAGCAAACCAGTTGAGGCAAAATATATCCTGAAGCCTTTTTTTTTTCTTTTTCCAAAGACCGATATTGAAAGCTCCGCGTGAGGTGATAAAATCAGGAGTCCTTCACGGCCATTCCGTTCTGAATGACAACGGTGTAAACACACGCGGGAAGCGGAAAAGGAGTTGTTCTCATCCTGAAGACATTCTTTGTAACCTTGGCTGGAATCCTTTGGTTTTGTGACCATTGAACGTTTGTGCAGTGGTGCAGTGCGGATTTAATTTGTCTGGTAATGAAAATAACTTGCTTTCAACTTTTAAATGGATGTATAATACCTTCATTTGGGGTTTTTTCCCCCTCAATACTGTGGTGGTGGTGGAGATATATTTATAAAAAAGGGACATTGCAATGGTCTCTGACCTCTTCCAAATAATACATTTGGCTGTTTCCACTAATTGTGTTTTATTGGTATGACATGCGATAATTTACTCGTGCTGATAATGTACTATTAAAAATAATTACAGTATAGATTTTGTGTACCTTGTATAAAAGGTCACGAGTGAGTTTTATAAATTCTAACGCTGTTCTAGAATGACTTCAAGTCAAAATTTGGCTCGTACATATAGTCAAGTCTATGCTTACAACGACATAAATCCCCACAATTTTAACGGCGTTGTTTTAGAACCTGGGTTTAGGGAGGTTTGTATCTGGAGGTTTTCAAGGGCACTGAATCCTCACTCGACATTAGTTATTCGACAATGCATTTTTCTTTTTGAAATACTGTCGTGTGATACTGACGCTGACAAAAAAAAGCTGTTGCAAGCATAAACATATGGCACAACGGCTGTAGAGAAGTAATTTAAATTATAATTTCAGGAAATATTTATTTATCTACAAACTTCATAATGTGTTTTTTGCATTCGCAGTATGTTCAGGAGAATTTAGGTGTCATGTCGGTGGGGTTCCTGCTCAGCAGCCCCAATGATGCTGTGATATGGCGCGGACCGAAAAAGAATGGTATGTACAAATCTATTTGCAAGCGCATACTGTACACCATGTGCGATTTGCAGCAATAGTTATTCATTTGATTTTTTCCCGGCCCCTGCTTGGGTGGTAGGCACGCAGGAGAAGCGTGTTGGGTTACGAGCACCGCACGAGTTTCCATCCACATTGGCAGGATTTTCTTTTTCAGCTTCAAATTCCCAGAGGTGCTTGAGCCGATTTGATTGCACGTTAAAAAGGTCACGGTGCGTTTTGTAAGTAATTTATCGTGAGCTGTGAATTCATCTGAATTAATTGTATCAGTGGTGATAGTCTGCACATTAAAAGCACGTTTTATCCCGGCTCTTTTTTTTTCATTGGTTTACATTGCACGGCACGGTAGGCTGGCCTGCCGTGGTCGGTAAGGAGGAGGATGATGGAGTCAGAATGTGGATTTGTTTCATGTCGCGCGAACGAGTATATCCGCGTTCGGCTACATCTGCGTGCATAGCCATCAAGATTAAACACTATATTTACCCTCGTAGATAAAGTGTCCCCATCTTGGAAAGTGATTTACTCCCCGCGGTGGATGTTAGTGAGCCCGAAGATGAGCACACTTCATTTTTGGTTGCAGCTCTTGCACATGTGGGAGGGGGAGCGTAGAATTATCTAACAAGTATGCGAGACAGTCCAGGCAGCCAGGCACAGTGTCCCAGAATAATGCCAGGAACGAAAGCAATGCGTGCTGCCCTGCCAGCTAAATGTGCCCGATCTGAAAATAGCGGAAACGCCACGCATGCTGCAAGTCTGCTCCCTACCTATAATAAAGGGAACAGCACTTCAAATAACGCGCCGCGCTAATGGCACCGTTCACGTATAAATAGCGTGCCACATCGCAACGCTGGGCGTTGCGTGAAACTTATTTTAAACCTGTCGGTATTCTCCACGCTGATCAACCGAAGTTTGCATTTGAACGTTTTGTCGCGCGACTTTGTTAAGAGCGTTGTCTTGCACGTTTCAGCCTTGGCCATGACAGTCAATTTATTCAGAGAATATAAATACCCTCCTGAAGGGGACACATATATATGTATGTATGCATGAAGTCCATATACAAGAGGCTTCTGTACGTACACCAATAGGTATGGTGCCGTCTTTTTTGCTATACAATTTAAATGATTGCTACTTTCACGTCTCCGTAGCAGGCGATGCATTGCGGTCACCAAATGTGTGTCTGTGGGCGTGTGCAGCCAATGCATACTGAGAAGTACCTAAATTATTTGAGCCTACAATTGCAGATCGCTACAATGCCTACCGCATGGCTTTCCGAGTCCAGTGTTTAGAACGCCCGTGTTTTAAAATGAGATGATAGCTAAATGGGATTAAATACATAAGTTCAAGATTACCGCAGACAAGAACTGAACATGTCAACAGTGAGGACGAGAGAGACCTGTTGGTTCTAACGAAATGTATCTGCTATCAGGGCAGTTATGGGTGTAACAACGTAACGAGTCACCGGTTCATTTCCATTTGTAAGCTCACGGTACACCCGTTCAAATCGCGTGTATCATGAGAATCGATGTTTTTTCAAATCAAAGACGTATATAATGGTTTCACGTGACTCCGTCCTAGCCACTAGGTGCTGCTACATTCACTGCAATGTTAAAAATATAATCAATCCTTGAATAGAATCGCGACTCTGAATCGTGACCTTGCGAGGCGAGTGAATCATTACAGTACACCCCTAATATCAATACAGGCATTTAAGGTAGAATCGCTCCCTGATTGAGTGGTTAAACAGCGATATTAACGATATACGATTATGTTAATAAAGAAATACATGTCATAATCATCAGCCCTATGTTAATCCTACCACTAAATGAAGGCATCCCCATGCAGTGTTGGTCATGGGGGAGTGGAGGGAGGTTGACCATACTTCACCATGCTGGTCAGTGTGTGCTTGTAAATTTCGGCGGCTCAGGACTGGTTCAGATGTCACTTTACTACTGATGTTTAACCGTGGCGAGGAATCAAATTCAGGTCCTCGGGTTCATAATTTAACCCCACTGCATTGTAAACGTATTCATAATCGCATTCTGTAAACATTTCTATTTAATTTTCTTATGGAGTAATAACTCGGCGCTTAAAATGGTAACGTAAGATAATTGAAATATGTTGGTGAGAGAGTCCTCCTTTTGGACCTGTTCCAGTTGGCATCTGCAACGTTGTCCCGGATAAGAAATCTGCTTGTTTCTGATTACGCGGAAGAAGGCTTCCGTGGAATAGAATTAAAAGTACAAAGTGATTAAATCGTGATTGGCTTCCCCCCTCTCCATTCCAGATCGCCGAGTTATCAATGCGTTGAAAGAACGCTTTAAACAGTTGGGACATACATCTAATGAGGAGACGTGGCAAGAATTTAGCCGACTTTACTCACTGTGAGCCCTGGGGTCTCTCATTCGTTTGACAAGCGGATAAGCTGCTTGGCCAGGTGATTGAGCTATTGGAGTCATGGTTCACTTCAGCTAACTCTGAAGGTTTGCAGGCAGCATGCTAAGGCTTGGCCGGTGGTGCTGGCTTGGAGGGAGGCAGGGAGAAGGGGTGGGTGCTGCGTTTCTGTGTGGCCCACCCGCTTGCACCTCCCGGTTGGCACTGTTGGCTACGTAGGGTGCGAAAGAAGTTCAACATACATACAGTCCGTGGCCACAGGCAGGGCCGTATTTCGGGGGGGTTCTGGGCCCGGGGCAAACCCCACTGTGTGCCCCCCCCCCCCCCACACCTTCAAACTAAATCAGAAGTGTTACATCTGACACTGTGATGTCGAAGCGGTTGCCCCCCTTCGCCCGTACCCAAGGGACGGATGTGCCCACAGTAGTCGGCACGTTATCCCGAGCGGGCGCCACAAATTCCCCGCTGGGCCCGAGCCGCAAACATCCTCCCTACGTGTGCTATGTGTTGCACTTCTCCCGTGAAAACTGTTAGCGATTTCTCAGCAGTGCTTTTCCCATTAACTCTGTTGGCTCTTTTAACAAATACGCTCAATGAAAGCAGCAGTGGTTCCCGGGTTAACTTCGTTCAGTCTGTGGGTGGTGTTCGCAAAGTGTTATCAATGTAGTCCTTTGGCCCAGACCAAATATATTACTTGTTGGTACCAGCTGGGAAGGAAACACTTGAGTTGTACCAACAGGTTTAAGTTGCCAATTAAAGTGAATTGTGCATTCACCTTGTTTAATGAAGTATTTTATCACAGAATACAGAAACTGGTTTCATTAACTATTGGCCCTCTTAGATGGTGACTAAATTCCGCTCTCGCCCACGGGCCAATGAGACGGTTTGCTCCTCAGGTATGTATGTACGTATGTATGTACTTATGTATGTACATTGAACTTCTTCCACACCCTGCGTAGCCAACCGTGCTAATCGGAGGTGAAGTTGGCTTTGAGCCGACCCCCCCCCCCGCCTTCCCTTGTGTTATCTCTGTTGTTATCTTCTTCTGTGCCGATAGGCCTGATCAAGCAGTTTCTGCGGGACGTGAACTGGGGCACCGTAGACTACCTTGTGGTGGACACTCCGCCGGGCACCTCGGATGAGCACCTGTCCATCGTCCAGTATCTGAGTGAAACGAACCTCGACGGGGCAGTGATCATCACCACGCCACAGGTTCGTGCATACGTTACGCGCGTGGCGTTGAACGCCTTCGGCACCGTACGTAGCCGACCGTGCTAGTCGTGACGTACACGCGTGCACAACTCGGCGTACTTTATATGTTTTTTTATTTTCCTAAAATGTACCAGCTGTGGTGTTGCTTCAGAATTCACAGCCAACTCTTTTTTTTATTGTAAAGTTTACGTTGAACGCGTTAAATGCTTTTTTTTTTTGGTAAGATCTTCGTATCAAAGTTTTATTAAACTGTTATTATGCTAAAGTTTACACTCTATTATTTTCACAGTGACACGTTTCAACACAGACATGGTATTTATATACACTAAATGTTAAATAATGTAAATTTATTTATTAATACCTAGGCGATAGCCCATTGACATTAAACGTTTCCTTTCACAGCACATTCTCTTTAATGGCAGCCCTGGTTTAAACAAAGATCAAAGCAGCAATTATAATCTTGATTTGAAGCTTTCGTGACTGCAGGAATCCATACTCTTTGGTTCTTTCGGTAAAGTCACGTAGGTAGAAAAATAATAGATCATGTCGTTTCGATCGCCACACAAGCAATCTTCTTCTTCCCCACCTGAAGACGATTGCTTGTGTGGCGATCGAAATCTTCTTCTTCCCCACCTGAAGACGAGTGCTTGTGTGGCGATCGAAATCTTCTTCTTCCCCACCTGAAGACGATTGCTTGTGTGGCGATCGAAATCTTCTTCTTCCCCACCTGAAGACGATTGCTTGTGTGGCGATCGAAACGTCGTGATCTATTATTTTTCTACCTACGTGACTTTACCGAAAGAACCAAAGAGTACAGCAATTATACATCACAACATTTACTCAAAAGCACACCAAGTTATGTAATACATCACATAATGTACACGGTTAGGCTTGGAACATCAAAGTAGCAAATGAGATTAAATTAACAGAAAACAAGATAAAATTCAATTGAAAGTACAATTCCAGTATTAAAGCTTTCGTGACTGCACAAAATTACTCATTGGTTTTTTCGGTAAAGTCACGTATATTTACAAGAGGTGGTCCTTTTTTGAGCTGCCGTTTTGTATGTGTAAGATGTGCGTGTTTGAGCTGCCGCTCTCGCTCTGGCCCCTCCCCCCCTCCAACCGTATTCCTATTTAAGCTTCTGTTCATCCCTTCGCCCCCCCCTCTCTCTCTGCCTCCCTGTCCGTCTTTCCTCCCTCCTTACCTCTTGGTGGACTTGTATATGTATTTCTACTGACCGTGTACCTCGTATTTTTCATTCTATCTATGCTGGTATGTGCAATCCAAAGGTTGAACACGAAATTTAACACTCTTCTGAAATTCGTGGTCCGCCAGGAAGTGTCTAACTGTGTTGTTGGCCTGACAGGATGTGCTTCACATAATGTTTTTTCAGGTTTGTTGAATTCTCGTCTCTCATCTTTTTGTTGTATTTACCTCCGTGATTTGTTCTTGACACCTGATGAAGATCGCTTGCGTTGTGATCGAAACGTCGTGATTGTTTTTTGTTTTAATATAATTTTATTGTATTTCTACATACGTGACTTTACCGAAAAAACCAATGAGTACAATTCCAGTGTTCAACACGAGAGACGAGAGAGAATACAAAGGTGATCATGGTGCGTGACACTAATGAGGTATTGTTAGTTTGCATGAATTGTTAATCCCCAGGTGACACCTTTGTCAAGGGCAATGCAAAACCTGTTGAAAGCTGACATGGTCGGCATTGTTTCTGAGTGCAATGCAGTGAGCAATATTCCTTAACCCTTTCGCGTTCCGAGACTTCTGCAAGTAGCAGGGTGGTGGGTCCCGTTCACCGCCGAATTCCGGAACGTGTCAGGGGTTAGCATTCATTTTATTTAGAGAGGCGTAGCCTCTGCTGTTTTAAAGACATTGTTACTCACCGCAGATAACCGTAGCGACACGACAGCACTCTGTGATAGCTGGTGCCAAACTGTGCCACGTGCCCTCCCACACAGCCTTGTGGGAGCCTTGGTACCGAAAAAGTTATTTTATTTTAGTTTTCCTTCCGATTTCGTTTGCATTATGTACACGTACGTCATGGGAACGGAATGTGAAGAAAAAATGATGACGTACACCTACACGTACGTCATCGGAGCGTGAAAGGGTTCAGAATCCTGTATTCGTTCTCTGCAATATAGATGTTGTTGTTGCTGTTGCTGCACTCACACACCACGGAACTCCCTTACGATATAGCCGGCCAGCTGGCTAAACGGGACCATCTGTGTGGCAAATCTAAATTAAATTAACACTTAAATTAGGCAAATAAACTCACCAAATGTTGTATTTGCGAGGAAATGTTAAGCTTCGCGAATGTGAAGCGTCATGTGGAAACGCTGGTGCCATCGCTGTTGGACAAACATCCCACCAAATACAGCTGGACCCTCCAGACTCAGCCTGACTCTCCGGGGTTATCATTGTTATTTTTGTCTGTTGAGTGAATACGTTACCTATCTGCAAAGGTTTTGTTCACACTTTGACCATTGCATTACATTTTTGAGATGGTAAGATATTCGGGTACATTATAGTAACAAAATTGATTAGCAGGTAATGTCTCCCTCTCACCATACATTTGTCTCTTTACCCATCAAATGTAAAGTACTGTCCCTATAACCCAATGGCTCTCGCAGCCCCCAAGGAGTAAATTCAATACAAGCAAACTGGGCTGGTTTTGACATATGGCGTCTTATCAGCGGGCTTGCTTGATTAAATGCTGAACTGCCAGATGTTACAGGCAAGCACTCTCTCTTGAAGATATATAGAGTTGGCCATGATGGACAACATAACTCTTATGAGAGGTGAAATGCCAGGGCTGGGTGGAAGACCGACCGGGTCTAGCTCATTTCAGGCTGTGGCTTCAGTGTATTTTTATCCCACATTACTACAGTCAATTATCATCGGGAAGGAAATGAGAATAATTTGATTAGAGCTGGATTCAAAAAATGACATTTTAAACATCTTGGTAACGTTTTGTCCATGTGTCTTAAGGTACAGATGATTATGCAACCAAATGCCCAGATATTTTTAGGATGTGATATTTTTCAGCGGTAGGCATTACACAATGTGTGTTATGTTAATTCACAGTGATTAATCCTTTAAGAGCTTTTTAGGACTCGTGATATTCAGGCAATTATTTTTTAAAATTGTTTTTATTTCAACTCAACACGAGCCCCAGTACATAGCACCAGTTACTGAACAGGAAGGGGGGGTGGGCATAATTTCTGGAAATCCTTAACACAGAACGAAACCATGTAAATCACACACCTTGAAAGCTATTTACCCTCCCCCCAATTCCTATCCATACCAATTAATCACCAAACCACACTATTCGGAGTGGTGAGCATTAGAACTCCCCACTCCTCCCTCCCCCATACTCACCACCCTGTCCTCTCCGTCCTCCTCCTCCACCCTCCCCTCCCCCTGTGCCCTCCCCTCGTTCCCCCTTTCCCACGCAAATACCCACATCTCCCCCACCGCCGCACCTCACGATAAATCATCAGAGCAGGCATTCCACTCTCCAGCACTCTTCAGCCCCACATATCCCCGTGCCCAGTTTTCTCAAATTGGAATCTGCGATCGCAGATAATCAATGAACCAAAGGCTTGCCGTGTTGGCATGTCCCCCGCCCCGTCTTGGTTTGCTAAATAAAGTTAAAACAGAATTCAAGGTAACACTATTTTCAAACAAAACACTGCTCTATCTTGATTTGAAGCTTTCGTGACTGCAGGAATCCATACTCTTTGGTTCTTTCGGGAAAGTCACGAAGGTAGAAAAATAAAATAAAACAAAAAATAATATATCCATACTCTATCTAACCATGTAAATATTGTAATTTTCCTAACCTTCCATCACCATCATCATCAACAATTGTCTGTCCACTGCTGGAGGAAGACCTTTCCACGTCATCACCATCCCCTACCGTCCTGCGATGCCACAACGCATCTCACTCCTGCATATGGACAAATCTCATCGCTCCCTCTCTGCTGTGGGCTATCCTCTCAGGGCAATGTTCTCTGCCATTCCGTCATCAGTCACATCCATCAACCATGTACTGTTCGCCTGTTGGCGTTGTTCTATGGTCTGACACTGGTAAGATTAGTGTAGGCCAATCAGTTTCAAAGACAATGCGTATATTATCAGAGCATGTTTATTTGCATGTTCACCACAAGTACGTGTGGTTATTACAGACCTGTCTATTTGGTGTTTCAACATCTTAACACACCTGTTTTATTGCCAGAAAGGGTACAACCTATTCTTATTTTTCATCATACCTTCTCACAACATATTCTTCCCAAGCCCACTTACTCTCCTTGATGGTCAATGTGATGTCCCTGACTTGCATTTGTTCCTTGCTCTAAGTGTTCCTCTTTCTGTTTCAGTGTAATTCCAAGCATGAATATCTCCATACCTTATGCGTGCACTTTTCAGCTCTTTTCCCGTTTTCTTTGTAAGTCATAGCAGGTAATTTTCACCAATTGTAAACTTTAATTCCACTTGGCTGCACAATTAGCACGGGTTTTACTCCACATATCCAGTTATAGTCTCAAATTTTCAATTATATCATAATTGCGTACTTTTCCCTTTGCCATTACTTGCGTTGAGTTGAACACCCCTGGAGTTTGTGAGGAACATTCCTTGCGTTCATCGCCCTACTTATGGCATGGTTGCAGCAATTGACATTTTACAAGGGGTCAATTGGCCACTCGTGACATTTAAGCCATTATACGAATTGCACTTCTTCCTCCGCAAAAAAAAAAGCTGTCCGTTTACCGCTTTGAGTGAAAACCTCGCTCTCGTTCCTGATCGTTGTGTCGACAGGTGAAGCCGCACATTGGCGACTTCACACATCCGCGTTGTGTCGCGCTATCGCCATGCCACTGCCTTCTCGTAAAACTGGTCCAGATTACACAACATTGTCGACAGTTTTGTTCGGTTTACTATCGAGTCTTGTTGTGGTTTTGATCTGGATTTGATTATGGCCGATTAGATAACAGTCGGGCGTCGCCCCCACACAGTGGTTGGGGGCGTTGCCTCGTGAAACAAGATGGACGTCCTGTACTCTGGTGAAGCAAGATAGAGGAGGCTGCCTGGTGTGCTGGGTTTGGGAGATGCTGCTCTTATCCGTGGACGACCTTGCCGTAGATTCTGGTGCAGGAGACCATCGAGTCTTGTACATTATGTTACCAGAATTGTTTTAAAATATTTGTGATAATTACTTATATTTTGCATTTTTACACTTTTACACAAGTATCTTATAGTCCAGAGAATACAGTATGTTTACAACAAGAACACTTGGTATATGTTGGTGCAGCATTGTTTCAACATCTATTACAGATAATCGTGAAACTAATCTAAATTAGTTGCGTAAAAAATAGACATTATTTTGGTTTCTTAACGACTTGATATAACACACAGAGGCTAAGAGTATCACGTGTTCCGATGGGCCTATGTTTAATCTCTTAGTTAAATAAAGGATACTACATTTGCATTCTCAATTTATTTCTGACCAAGAAATGTACCAGGACGTCACGGAGACGGTGGACTGAACTGTGTCCTTCACTCTTCATGGTCAATTTAATGTTCAATTTTATTGAGGGACTGTTGCTTGTTGTCTTGATGTAGTCTGGGACAGTTTTTTTGCTGTTTTGCTGCCTTGCCCAAGCTTGGGAATTGATGTACTTACACAATTAAAACGTATTTTATTTCTACTTATTTATTTATTTATTGCTATGTGCTTAACTTTCCTATAATTTGCACTCCTATTGTTTTTGTTGTATTGTTGGTTGTTGTAACTTTATGTCCCCCCTCCTTTACTGGACATATGTGATAAAGAGCTTCATAACCCTTCGGATTTCTCCGGGATAAATCCGGATTCTGATTCTGATTCAGGAGGTGTCTTTGCAAGATGTACGAAAGGAGATAAACTTCTGCAGGAAAGTGAACCTACCAATCATCGGCGTCGTAGAGAACATGAGTGGGTTCATCTGCCCAAAGTGCAAGGTATAACTGCGTAAAACGTCGCTCGGCAACACTACGTGACATCCTGTTGAATTTGGGTATGGACGTACGAGTAACACGGGGGACGGTTTATGTACGTACCTATGTACAGTGAACTTCTTCCGCACCCTACGTACCCAACCGTGCTAATCAGAGGTATGGGAGAAGGACAACAAACTAAACTAAACACACGCAGTTTATACGAGCGTTATCTTGCCGCCTTCTTCAGAACGAGTCACAGATTTTCCCGCCCAGCACGGGAGGCGCTGTGGAAATGTGCCGCGGCATGAACGTGCCTTTCCTGGCGAAGCTTCCCCTCGACCCAAGGCTAGGTGAGAATACTTTCACAGCTATATTGCTTCCTTCCTTTCCACTCGAGCCAAATCGTGCGGCGTAAGGAACCCAACATTAAGTATACGTCGGTTTAAGATTTCCTATTCATGTTCTTTTGTTAAATACATAAATGACCAAATAAAACATATGACGAGAATCGGTTATATTTCTTCATCATCGCAATCATCAGCAGCTGTGGTCAGTCCGCTGCTGGATGAAGAATTCCCCCAATCTGCTGGGAAATCTCTCACGGCCCTGCGAACTGAAGAATCCACCAGGCAGCTACATGTGGGCTGATTTTATCACTCCATCTCCAAGCTGGACGTCCTCTCCAGCACGTTCCCTTCATTGGGTGCAACGCTTTAAATGTTCTCGTCCAGCGGCAATGTGTCCTAATGATGTCATTAATCTGCATACGTCCTCACATCCACGTGTTCCTCTTTCCGTCTCTCTGTGTAATTTCACATTGCCGATCCATGTGTTTCAAAGCAGCTAATTTACGCTTCTTCACGGACGTCGGCATGTTGCTCTTCATTTTCAAGTTTAGCTTTCCAAAAGCACTTGCTGTATTTGCCGGAGCATATGTGGCGGTTGGTTCAGAGTTGAGCGACGATGAAAGGCGTCTTACTGTTTTGAGTGGATAATTCACACAGCCCACTGTGCCCTCAGAATATGCCCTCAGAATATGCACCGACCTTTTTGAGTCGGTGAACAAATTATTCGCGCACGGCACAGGCTATGTTTGTACTTGCTGCTGAACAGCTGTCACATGATCCCTGAGCGAAGGGGCAATGAGGAATGGAACAGGCGGCACACCCAGGGCCCAGAATGAATGAGGCACAGCTGCTGGCATGTAGCAGTGTCTCCCGTAATTTGTTGGACACTGTCCCGAAGTCGGGGACTCTGGACATGCCAACCCGTAAGCGAATTAATGAACGCTCACTCAGTGGCCGATGAAGAGAGAGAGAGAATAGACACCCTTCAAGGGTTGTTGCTGTCCGTGCATTTGGTCTCGCCAAATGCCGTCCGTCCTCTTCGCACAAGAGGGTCGAGTGAACCGTGCCCCACACAGCAGTGCTTCTCAATCTCTCTGAACCCGCTCACTGCCGTCAACCCCCCAGGACGATCTTCACCGGCCCACCGCGCACACCGACACAGTTTTTCTCAATTAAAACGACCCTGAATCGTAGTATCAGTACCGGTGCCACGGAGCGCTTCCCACGGTTTTTGCAGACCACCAGTGGCCCGTGGACCGCAGGTCTGGGAGCCACGACACTCGCCTACGCGGCTGACACCTTTGTCTTTTTGCGTAGACCTAGGATTTCGTTGTGATGAAGCAACGCTTCTGGATCTTGTCCGTCGGCACTGTCATATTTCGGAAATCGTTGTGCTTTTTTTTTTTGCTGGAAAATGTATTGTTTTAGTAAATGTACTGCATTGAAAAGATGCAGTTTTCCCCCAGTGGGATCTGTGTCAGCAACACCCATTGTGCATGCAAAAGCACGTTTCCCTTCAAAGGAAGAAGCAACCCAGAAAAAAAAAACAATTGCCTCTTTTTCCTGCAGATACCTTCCTGGGTTGCGTGCTCTCGTGCAGCACGAGATTGAAGCTTTGCTAATGAGAAAGATAAAAGACCTTTCAGTTACGGACAGACAAACCATTAGGTCAGATGAGTCATTGTAGTGACATCACTGCGACATCGCCTCGTGTTTTTCTAAACTGCAATTTGACGTGACTCGAGCGCTGTAATGGCGCGACTGACCTAAATCTAAAGTCCTTTTTTTCTTCTTCTCACGAATGAAGCTTCAGCCTCACGCCAATGGCTCTGCACACACACGGCGAGCGTAGGAGTGTGTGTCTACAAGATGAGCTGTTTGCATTGCATCCTCACTCCAGGAAGCTCACGCATGTCACAGCTCATTTTTTACGATCAGTGACTGTGTGCGATGTTGTCAAGAGGTCATCGTGACCAATGCCCGGTTGATGCCACCACACCTTGCCATCGCTTCCGCTAGATCCTGCAGTTTTAATGTCAGCACCTCTTCTTCGAGAGGATGACTGATAGATATTGGAGTGAGATGAGTAACGGGCCTCTTAGGTAACCAATCACATAACCACGAGAACAAGTTGTATTTTCTAAACTTGTTTTCTACCAGTTGAAGTAACCTCTTCATTCTATATCAATAAAAATCACGAGTAAATCTAATCGGGAAAAGTTAACGTCTCACAGTTCCACGTCCATTCACCTTAGACTACGATGCACCATAACACGTTCAATGTGGCGGTATTTAATAATAGGTCGCGCTCGGTATTCTCTCTCTGTCGTCGCCGCTCTAGGGCGGTGCTGCGATGAGGGAAAGTCTTTTGTCGCAGAGGTCCCAGACTCAGCGGCGGCGTTGGCTTTCCGAGAGATCATCCAAAGTAAGTTCGCTGCACTGGTGCAGCCGCGGGCACCCAATTTACGATTGCTTTGCACAACATCCACAACACACGTGCTTCGCGCCTTGTCGTGGCGCTCGCCCAAATGTCCGTGGCCTCGTCCCCAACATTTTGGTGGGCCTAACCCAAACGTGACTTTTGAGTTTAACGGCAGTTTTTCTTGCCTCTGAAATCGTGTCAGCCTGTGTGCGTTAAGTGCAGCTTCGATTCGATATACAACGTGCGTTTGTGTTTCTGCGTCCATTTTCATAAAGAGTTTTGTTCATGGCTATAAAGTCAAATCCAAAAGCATGGTGTAAAAATAATAAAATATTGCTCATCCAGTGACATAAATTTTAAAAACGTCACTCCCTCTGCTCTTCACATTTGTTAATGCAGCTAACATTGCCCCTCTAGCATTCAATCCATCTCTTGGCACTGTAGTCAAGTACTGTATCCTTGTGCTTCCGGTCCACTTGAAAAATATAATTGCTTAAAATATAAAGGATAATCTTGAAGTTAATGATTTATGACTTCGCCGAGCTAATTGAATAAAGTTCATGATGTGCATCATGGATTTCTCCATCAGATTTTCCCCATGTACACGCAGTATGTAATCGGTAAAAAACATTCACCTTACCATGAGGACGTGCATATGGGACGCGCGGCGTTATACAGCATGTGAGCTTTTACGTTTAAAAAAATAAGATATTTCCAACTGTGTCCCTCCAATTTATATTTTTGTTTAGCTTTTTTTTTTGGCAAGGGCATTATTAATAAAAATGCATTCCAGGATGAAAATGTATGCCGGGAATTACACCGGGAGACACAATGTGGAATGCATGAATAAAAGGACAAACTCAAAACAACATACTGTGGGGAATAGCTCTCAACATTCACAAATAGGTTGTCAAACTACTTACTCTGCTAACTCCCACAAGCTTTTCGTTGCCCAAACATCACCTCCATGTAATCCACCAACTCCATCTCCAATTTTTATCAATGTGTGTCATAACTCCCAGCCAGTTTATAATAAACAGGTCCCTGCAGGGTGGGCTGGTAGGACAAGTCTCTGCGCTGTCTATTGCTGATTTTACACCCAACAGCACGAGATTTCACTTCGTTAAAGTATTGAAAGGGGACGGACGGACGGACACATTAATCTATTGCAGGCTGGTACACTCAGTTTACAACTTCGTTCCTACCAGTATAATACAACATCATACAAAGTTACGACAATAGTAATGTTCCCAGGTTTATGGAATAAAGCCTCACTTTTGTCTGAAGAATCCCTTGAAGAAGGAGGGTCCTGTGTTGGGTGTTTATACTCTGTGGGAGGACAGAGGAGAACCCAGAGAGAACCCCACGAATTCCAGGTGGCAACACTCAAGAGGTCCGCACAAACGGATTAAATCCACTGGCTGTACCGCCATCTCCTGGCCACTCCGCATCCCAGCCGGTTTAAGAGTTTTAACCCATTTATGTGACCCACCAAACCCTTGCCTCCAAAGCGCTGGATCAGAAACGTGCGATTCCAGGAAGCCCAAAAATTTAAGCACACCCATACTTTATAATTCCGTTTTAAGCAATAATATTTTTTCAAGTGGTACCGGAAGCACACCCATACAGAAGTGGACTACGGTGCCACGTAATTTAGTCCTCAATGTCCCAGCAGTTGTGCCACAGCCTTAGTACATGACCAGGACCCTTTTTATTCTCTGGGAGCTACACAATTCCCAAACGAGCCTCTGTATACAGGCCACATTGCACCTCTAAATCGTTGGGATGATCTCTCTCTGCCTGTCAGTAGCTTCCAGCTGTTCATCTGTCCCTGGCTTTGTGATAGGTGGAAATGAGGTCCCATGGGTGTGATCATATAATTGTTGCGATGGCAGTACACGGAGCCACCATGTGTCTTGCACATTTCACACGTGAACGTAGGCACGTTCCCCCTCTCTCTCCCCCCCTGCATCCCACTCCTTCATTCTTCCCAGGCTCCACCATTCAACGCAGCTCTCCCTTGTGGCACCACGAGCCAATCCGATAGAATAGTTAATCCACCACCTCCCCTTGCCCATTGGCCAGGTGTTGGATGATGGCGGGGGGGTGGGGGGTGTGCTGATGGTAGGTGAGTGTAGGGTGTGCGTTCAGGTAGAAGGTGTAACCTTACAGGAACTACACGGTGACATTTTGCAGTCACGGTCTAGTACCGTGGCATTTATAAAACATGTAAAAATAGTTTCTTTCAAGACACAGTGTAGCCTGGGGTAAAATGTGACACATGTTTAGTAGGGTATTGTGGGTGGTAGGTAAGTGTGCACATCAGGGCTATAAGGATAATATATAGCAAGTGAGTGGGGGAGAGTAGACGCAAGTGGTGAGCTTGACCTAGAATCCTGGTAACGACTAACATTCGTGTCGAGTGATATCCGCAGTGACGAGCGTGGCGAAGTATGGTCAAACAACCCTCTTGACCAATACAGCGTGGGAAGAGAGCTGTGAATTGATAAAGGACTGGAAATTATTATTTGTATTAACCTATAATATGGTTATTAATCATAGGTGAAGAAAGTGGGGAGAGTGCTTCGTTGTGATTTGTATGAGGGAAGCCAGTAATGAACACAACCCATTGTATGGGAGCTCCAGACAGCAGAGATTAAGGAATGATCTCCCATGGTCAGGAGCTGATGGGAGGATTTGAGAGAAGACTTGGAGCGGCTTAGCATCAGAGAAAAGAGAGCGAGTTGAGATAAGATCAGAGAGGTAAGTGGGAGCATTGCCGTGGAGTACCCAGAAAATAATGGCGTTGATCTTGTGGTAGATTTGGATTGGAAATCTATACGGAAGCCAGTGGAATGATCTCAGAATCACGGAGAATCGGTCACATTGACATGTGAGGAGTCTGGCAGTGTTTGCCAGGATCATCTAGCGTTTAGAGGGATTTAACGTGGAGCATAGAGTTGGGAGTTTTGAGTAGTCAGGGTACCAGGTAAAGATTGATCAAAGGCTTTGGCGACAGCAGGGTCCAGAATGTGCCACATTGACGCACGTGAGAGATGTATGTACGTTGAACGTATTTTCCCAATGTACGGAGCCAACCGTGCTAATTGGAGACGAGGCGTGTGTGGGTGTATGGGGCCCCGCGGAGTTGTGAGCTTGCGGTTGGAGGAACACCGCCCGCAATCGACGATGACGCCCCAACGTAGGCCTCGGGAGAGCTTGAGGCTCGGGTTCAGAAGTAGCACAGAGGTGGACAAACCTTATCTTAACGTAATTGATACAGCGCCTTAACCAAGGTGCTTTACAGAGAATTAAGAACGGTACAACGTATGAATGTAATGGCGGAGATGAGGTGAATAAAATAGATGAGAGGACGCAATGGGCAAATCTGTGATGCGTGAATTCGGTGAAAGCAAATTTTATGACAGTAATCGATGATGAATGGAGTGAATGAATGGGCAATGAGTGATCACCGCATAATGAGAATATGAAGAAGGAACAGCAACGGTGGTGGTTATGAAGGGGAGATTAAGGGGTTGTGGGGTGAGCTAGGGAAAATAAGTTGGTTTTGAGTGAGGAAACTCGTGAGCGAAGGTGACTCTTTAGTGTGGAGGGGAAGTTTTTTCCTCTTCGATGTTCTTGCTGTATAGGAATGGAGGTGAATGTCCCGGACGCATTTTCTATCCTGTCAGGCCTTTGTCCAGTGACCCCCGTTTTTACAGAGGGCTGCAGGATACAAGGGTGTTGTGAGATCTAAACAACTGTGATTGGTGAATGGAGGCTCAACTCAAACCCGTCATCGTCCAGCATCCATCAACATGTTTACCACCAATATAGGAAAGTCAACAGGAGTAATTTCATCATTCTCGTCCCCCGCCATGGGAAGGTGGAATTTCCACCGCTGGCTCAAGTTGGCCAATAGGAGATTTACTGGCCCAGAAGTTTGTTGGAGACTTGGAGCGATACTCGTGGAAAATATGCGAGTGGTGGGAAGGGAAGGAAGGGCTGCCACAGTGGTGTGACGTTATCTTCTTCGCCTGGTATGCAGGAGGTTGGGGGTTCGATCCCAACCCTGGCACCTGCTGTATATTTGGAGTTTGCATGTTCTCCCCTTGGCCGCGTGGATTTTTTTCTCCGGGTCCTCCGGTTTTCCCCTCCACATTTAGAAACATGCGTTAAGATTATTTATATTATTTTAGCGCTATAAATGTCTAGATGATGGGGCACTTTGTTGAGCTATCATTTGTGACCAGGTTGCTTCTGAAAAATAAGTTAATACTTCAGTGGGCTTTGCCTAGTGGATGGGGATGGTTTAGTTTCATTTGTATGTGTTTGAGTAATTTGTTCACCTTTCTTATACTTTGCACTACTATCATGTCTTTGTACTGATTCTTGTTGTAACCTTCTTAACCGCCCCTACTGGACATCGGTGAAAAAAAGCTTTATAGCTCATAGGATTCCTCCAGTATGAATAAATATTCTGATTCTGTTCGGAGGGTGATCTCACCTGGGAGGGATTAAACAGACAAACGTGTGAATGATCTCTCTTGCATTGCTTTGTGTTGCGTCGATGCAGATTATTGAATCCTATCCCATTTCTGCTGCGTAATGTTCCACATCGTGACCCACATCCTGCTTGCGATATTGGCCTTGTGCATTGGTGAGCCACACTCGCGACACCGTAGCGTCGGGGGCTGGAGGGGGGGGGGCTGGAGGGGGCTGAGTCCCCCACCCCTCCATGCTGTAGGAAGGCTCGGCGCTCCCTTATAAAATCTTAACAGTGATTTAGAAAAAAATAGACGGTGAAATATTTAACACCAGGGATGACAGCTTTCCCTCGTGTACACATGGCGTGAGAGTAAGAACTGAATGCACGATAGGTAATTGTCAGAACGTACTCTTGCTCATTCTGTGGAGTGTTTAACGTTTGTTTAAAGTTTGTTTAACACTGACCGTGTGCGTGCTCCCCTGAGATTTTCTATGCGTCTGCAACCCCCACCCCG